CTTTTTTGGAGGAAGGGGCTCTAATAAATGAATCTATACATTTGACCAACATTTTTTTGAAACTAAAAACAAGCTAAAAACAAATTTGCATAGTCCGAGTGGGCCATGCGAATACTCCTAGTATATTGAAGCTATACTAACTCAGAATGTTCTTTCAGGGCTGCATCTAGTGTGCTTAACAGTAGTCTAATGCTGTGGGGTGTTTGTTGTATTATTATATGGAAATCTTGGCAAACTGCCCTCAAGCGCTCACTGCTGATCTGAAAGCAAATGGCTGAAAACATTTGTTTTATAAATGCGCGTGGTGTGTTTGGAGAAGAGTTGTGGCGACCGTTGTTTTTAGTTTTTGGCAGAATTTGAACAAATACATGACATGATGTGTTTTTTTTTTTTTTTCTTGCTGTATAGTATATTTGAGGGGTCTCAGTCTGCGCGGAATTATTTTACTAATGGACGTCTGCTCATGGATTCGCAGTAGATGCTCTGGAACAGGAGGCTTGTGTCAGTTACTATAAGCAGCTCGAAGGGGGAGTTCTGAACTACTACTTTACCGTTAAGTCAGAGATGGGCTGGTTCTTCCTCAAGAAGTTGCCAAGTGGGGAGGATGAGATTGAGATGCTTTACAGGACAGCCGGGGATTTTTCGAATTTCAACTGATTGTTTAAAAAAAAAAAAAAAAAAATTTACTACCGGGTTGATGATGGTGGTCAAATAGATTTGAGGCATCCTCTTGGCTAAAATAATTAATATTCATACAGACTTTTTTTGGCAGCTATTTTGTTTTAAAAAAAGATAGTTATTGCATATAATCATTCATTTTAATGTGGAAGGGCATATTGCATGTGAGTTGTATGCATTGTTAATGTTGAAGAAGGATGCCCTTTTTATGTTTTTTTCTGACCTCTCGGGCCAGTTTAAAACATCATTATGTATGGATGTGGATTAGCCCTGGATTATATCTGAGAGGCGTGTAGCTGAGAGTGTGTTGAAGGGCTGTGGTGGGGTGTGGCGCATTTTTGCCCTTTTCTCTCTCTTAAGGCTTCCAAGCTGCACCGTTTTTTTCATTTCTTTTAGGATAGTGCATTCTTTCTCTTGGATCTGTCCCACTGGGGATTGGCTTTATTCATAATCCTAGTTGTCACATTTAATCATGTTGGTGCTGCTTATACGCATGCCTATTTTATTGTGTGTTAGGTATGGAGTATTGTGATGCTGTGCTTCCCTCCGTCTGTCTCTGAATCTGCTTGAATGTGTTTGGGATGTGCTGCCATCTGATATACAGTTGGCTAAATGGATGTGATTTCTTATAAGCTTTTCTTATTCTCTGCGTGATGCAGAACGTTTTAAGGCTGAAGGTACTTCCCCCCCCCCCCTCCACATTTGGTTGTTCTTTTTTCATTTGATCAATACTGATTATATTGTGCTAACTTCCAGTAGTCAGTCCATAAGCCATGGTGAAGTTACCAGTAGTGGTCAGGTCGTCTCTTTATGTGAGAATGAATAACGTATCACTAATGAGTGCAATTTGCAAGTCTTTTTTATAGTGTTTCATTTGTGTGACGCAATCTGCGTGCTTTATTTGATGACGGAGTTTGAAGAGCAGAAGCAGCGGAGCTTTGAGGACTCTGTGAGGCGGTAGACTTCACGATCTGGAACAGGAGGAGAAATGAGTCGGTGATAGCTACACAGGCAATAGATGATGCCAGCTCACTGCCAGCATGCAGCAGCTAACTCTGTGTGGCGGACGCAGGTCTGAGAGAGAGAGAGATGACAGACCACCACACAGGCACAGCACATCATCTACACTACACACAACACACACACAAAACACACTCCCTACCTAGTGTTTTTACATGTTTTACATTATGTTCTTGAACAAAATGAAAATGGAAAAACTTGAATAAGGCATAACTTGCCTGGTTTCACTTTGGTACATGCAAGATGAGACATGCCTGAGACAAATGTGTTAGGGTGACTTGCAGTAGAAAATAGGAGGTCTGGGAATTAAGAGTGAGGGGAAAATATTCCCATGGCATAGCATCCATAAACTAGATTTTCCTCGCATAGGATTACATTTTGTTGAAGAGATTATAATATCAATGAATCATCTCACTAATCTGTTTTTTCCCTCATTCCAGTTTCTCAGTTGTGGAGATTTTCTGTTCGTCTTTGTGTTATGTGATATATAAAACTGAACATCTTATAGGTTTGGGCAAAATAAGACCTTTGGGCTTCAGGCATTTTTAAATATTAACTGACATTTTTGTACACGGAAAGATTAGAGACAATAATTGGCAGATTAATCATTATGTAAATATACAGATGGCAGAATAATCTGTAAACTAATACACAGCAACTCTTTCTTTTCATTGTATCCAATGATTTCTAACAGCACAGGCAGAAGAGAATCAGTTACATGTTGTTGTGTGTGGAGATGTGAAGTTTACGGAAACTTTTTATGTTAATTGTGTACTAGCCCCATGGTTACTAAAAGGTAGTCACTATACCCCTTAAAGCCTACATTTCTATTTCCAAAAAACTGTTAGCGTTGGACTCGCTTCATAAATGCATGTGATTTCAGCTTCTTCTGCTGCTACCAATTCTGTAATGTTGTGCCTAACATGTATGTTGTTGCATATTGTTTCCATGGCACCTGCCCAGCTTAGTAGTAGCTAGTGAGATATTAAAAAAACACACACACACACACACACACGTAGCAAATAGAAGCTTAAAGAGAGGGTGGGAGGGTGCTGTTGCCAGGACAACAGCATTGTTTTGTTGAGGCAGGTGGCTGCATCAGACGTGTTTGATGGGAGGGAGCGGGAGGGAGAGGGAAAAAGAGAGGGAACATGTTAAAGGCGAGGGAGAGAATGAAGGGGTCGAAGAACGGAAGGTAAGAAAAAATTACTGCAGACCTGAAAGAAAACTGATTAAGACTTCTGAGAGAAAGTGCAGCATTGAATCCTGATGTCCGTTTGCCTCAGTCCCACACTAACCTGGCACTTAACTGAAGTACCTCTGCCAAGGATGCCTGATGATTAGTTAGTGTGTGTGTGTGT